TTGATTGGTAGATTAGAGATCTCTTGTCACATGATTTTTCTAAATCCGATAACCTCTCAAAACCGATACAAAACCTGCCCACCATATGTACCGGTTTGGGGAGGGCCGACAGTATATACTTATTCTTGTATATGTGGTAAACCAGATCAACTATACATCTATTCCAATACCTGTCCACCTGTTGACCAGGCTAGAAGGAAATATAATGTTTGGTCTGTTTACTGGATCAAATATAATATCGTTATATTGCAGATTCTGTGAATCAAAATTCTGAATTTATAACAGTTTAAAAGAGACCAAGTTTTTTTTAACTTTCATTATATATGAATCTACTACAATATTTCTTTTAACTTTTGAAGATATCCGTGAAATTTACAAAATATGCAGTTTGCCAATTTCTTTGAGAACAAAATGTATATAAATAACGAATTATGTATGTTTATTTTTTTTTACAAAAATTTTTTATATATTCAATATACAGCACGTATGATTAAATGCTAAAAATATAAAATGAATGTAATTTAAAATAAATAAATTTTGAATGAAATGCAATGTTTGATGACATTCAAAATAAAAAAAAAGAAATCTATTCCAATTTCACTCCAAAGAAAGAAAAAAAGAGAATAACTAAATGTTTATTAAAAAAGCTAAACTAGAAAAGCCCAGCATATTTAGTTTAGTTTGATAAGAAAAAAATCACGTTATATAAATATAAGACTATTTTTTTTGGTCTTTTTTTTTTTTACATTTGAAATGATTAAAAATGTACATATAAATGTGATGCATGATGTATGAAAAAAATCTATAACAAAAACCTTAGCTTATCGGAATTGATAACAATGATAATGTTTTTAATGTTATCTACTCCTCAAAATTTTTTGGCAATATTGATATCATCCCGATAAGAAATTAAAGCCATAGGTGTAGTAAATGTTCTTAAGTTTGGTAGTTGTTCAGAATTACTATATAAAAAGCAATTTTAATTATTTTCTATTAAATAACTCTAATGTGAACTAATTTTAACCAAATTTTACGCGTCATCTTTAAATAAAAAATGTTGGAAAATTATAGAAGCCTTGAGACAAAACTCGAAATAAAAGAATTATATATCTTTGCTCATATTGAGATAATATTAGAAACACATAAATTTGTTTCTCTTTGCAACAAGTTTCTCCATTTGGTTCTCAATTGCAATTCGGGCCTTTTCAGCCTTTTCTTTGGCTTTACGTTCTTCTTCAAGTACACTCTCCATGACTTTCTTTTCTTCTCGCACAGTTGATTTAGCTTGCTCTACTTGTTGTTGAGCATCATCTAACTGTGCTCTTAAATTCTTGATCTGTTCAAGGAACTCTTGCTTCTCACGTTGTAATATAGTTAACTGTTGTTTGGCTACGCGTAGATTTGTTTCGTTATCATTAAGTGAGGACTCCAATGTTTCAACAAGTTGATGATTTTGTAAATTTTCATTCTCCATCTTTGCAATTTTCTTTTGCAATTTTTGTATTTCCAATGCAAGTTCTGATGATGTACTAGAATCAGATCTATGTCTTGAATCTGGTCGTGGAAAGCCTGGTGTTGATGGTGGTGAAATTGGACTTTGAGGAACAATTTGCTTTGGAGGCGGTGGTGGTGGATGACTTGGTGGTGGTGTAGGTGGAGGTGCATTTGTATGATTTCCAGCGATTGATCGTAAACTTTTCTTTGTTTCTGATGAATTGGACGCTATTGATGAAGCAGAGTTACGTGCCTCAACGTTTGCTTCTTGTAATAATTTGCGTGATTCTTCAAGTTCCGAAATTTTATCTTGTAAAGATTTAATAACATTATTTTGCTGAGCAATGGTGACTTCTTGACGTGAGAGTTTGGATTGTTCACGTGAACTTATATCATCATCGGATGAACCAGAGACTGGTGATATACCAGCGTCCTTGGAAGATCTTGGGTTCATCTTGATTTCATTTTCAAGCTGATCATTGATCTCTATAAGTCTAGTAATTTCTTTCTCCATTTCTTTTGTATCAGCTAAAGTTTGTTTCTTTAAATCGAAAATTTCCCTTTCCAAATTAACGATTTGTTCGTTTAATTCAGCAACTTGAGCACTCGTTTTATTTTCTCCAGTATTCACAGATCGTAATTGTTGCATTAAGAATTCAATCTTTTGATCAAGTTTTCCACGTTCATCAAAAAGTGCCTCATTAGCTTCTTCTAATCCATTTTTTTCCATTTCAAGTTCTTTTATCTTATCTTTTAATACTTTTATGGATTCTTGATCACTTGATCCAAGCCGAATAAGTTTATTTTCTAAAGATTTAACTTTATCATTTAGTACTTGTGTTTGTTCTTCTGCTTCAGCAATTTTTGCATTCAGGCTATCGTTCGTCTGACGCAATTGTTCATTTGCAGCTGCAAGTTTAACAAGCGATGGACTTGTATGTTCAGATCCATCAAAGTTTGTAACCATGTCATCAGAATAATTTTTCTTTGCTTCTCGCAAAGCATTTTCCAATTCTACAATACGACACTTTTGTTGTTTAGATAATTCATCAGCGTCTTCAAATTTAGAAGCGGCTTCTGCAAATTCTTCAGCCAATGTTTCAAGATCTTTTTGTAATTGTTCAACTTGATCTTCAAGATCTTCATTACGTTCGCATTGTATTTTCTTTTCGGATTCAAGTTGTTTAGTAGTTTTTTCCAATTCTGCGACACGATCTTGTTGTTCTTGAACTTGACTTAGAGCTTTTTTAAGTTGACTAGTAAGCTCTTCAACTATATTACTATCAATGTTTTCATAGCTCTGAATGACAGAATCACGATGAGCATTACCAATCTCTTCTTGCAATTGCGCACATTTCTCTCGGAGTGATGAAATTTCTTCTTCTGCTTGTTTAAGTTTAGAAATTTCTTGTTGATGACGACTTTGAACTTCTTGAAGTTTATTTTCCAAACTTTTAATATGTTGAACGTGTTTGACTTTTTGAGATTTAAATTTATTGAGCTCAGCTTCTGATGCTTCAAGTTCCGCAGCTAAAGTATTAACTTGCATCTTTGTTGCTTCAGCAAGCTTAGCTTCAAGTACTTTTATGCGTCCAATAGCTTCACTTTCTGATACTTTTACAGATTGTAATTCAGTTTGAGTATTTTGTATTAACGTTTCCAATTCAGTAATAAGTTTATCTTGATTATTGAGACTATTTTCTTTTTCTAATAAATTTTTCGTCGCTTCATTAAATTTGACATCCAATTCTTTGATTACATTAGTCCGTTTTTCATCAGAATCTTTTGCTTCTTTTAATTGTAAACGAACGATTGAAAGTTTCTCTTCAAGAGTAGAAATAGTTTCTTTGTGAATTTTTGAAGAATCTTTAGCCATGACCAATTCAGTTTCTAAATTCGTTAAAGTAGATTCTAATTCCTTGATGGCATCTTTTTGATTAGATTCCCTTTCTTTAAGAATTGTTGTCAGTTCATTTACACGTTTAGCATTTTCATCTCGTTCCTTTTCGATATGATTCATTTCAGCTTCAAGTTCGACAATCATTTCATTTTGAGCTGACATTTCAAGTCTAACATTACTTAATTCTTCACGTAAATTTCCCACATTTTCATTACCAGCGTCACCTGCAAGTTTATAAGTTTCAACTTCAATTTCTAGAGCTTTAACACGTCTTTGTGCATCATCTCGTTGTTTTTGAGTATCTTTTAATAACATTGTTATTTTTTCTAATTCTTCCGATGATGAATTTGTATTCTCTTTTGCAAATGCTAAATCCTGCCTAAGTGTTTTTAATTCTTCTTCTAAAGACACCACGAGTTCTTTTTGAAGACTAAAACCTCCCTTCATTGATTGAAGTTCTTTAACAGCAGCTTCTTTTGAATTTCTAATTTTACGAAGTTGTGATTGAAGTTGTTCAATTGTTGTCTTTTGTTCAGATTCTAATTGTTTTAAAAATACAACTTCTTCCTTCACTGTTTCAAAGACTTTTATTTCTTTTTGAGCAGAGATATATTTAGATTCTAAATCTTGAACAGTTCTTCGTAAATCAGCTTCTGATGCTTTTAATCCGGCAATTTGATCTCTTAAAACGGAAATATTTGGATCTTCATTTTTAATAAGTTCTAATCGAGATTCAAGAATTTCAATTTGTTTACGTTGTTCTTGTTCATTTCCACATAAAGTTTCAATTTCATCTTTTAATAATTTAACTTGATTTGAATCTTTATTAACTGATTCATTTAATTGACCTTCCAAGTCTTTTATTTTCTTAATTTGTTCGGCTTCCTTAGCTTTTAATCCAGTAATCTCACGTCTAAGAGTTGTTAATTGGGATCTTTCTTCAGCTTTTTTGAGTTTAATCTCTAGGTTTTCAATCGTACGTTTTTGAGCAGCTTCCGATTCACGTGCGAGTGCCAATTCAGTTTTTAATTTAATAAAATCTTCATCAATTTGTCCACCTTGTTCAGAAAGTCTTCCTTCCAAAATTGCAATTCTTTCTCTTTGAGCAATTTCAACAACTCGTAAATGTTCTAATTGTTCTTGTAAATGAGTTTCTTCTTGATCAGATCCTAATCTTGCTTTGAGAACATGAAGCCTATCAAGTGTAACGGCTTCTCTAGCTCGAACATCTTTGAGTTCTTTTCTTAGAGTTTCCAATTCGTTTTGAAGAACTTTATTTACATCTTCACCATTTTCTAATTTCTCTAATCTTATTTTGAGTTTATTCATTTCATTTTCAAGTTCAGTTTCTTGTTTATGAACTTCCATAAGTTTAGATCTGAATATTAACGCTTCAGCTTCTTTTTCTTTTAATCTTTGCTGAAGATTTGCCTTATCCGCAAGATCACGTTTAAGTATCTCAATAAGTTCATATTTATGATGAATGTCCAATTTGAGTGTTTCAAGTTGTTCTTGAAGCACAGTCACAATTTCTTGTTCATTTTGTAAATTTTTTATGGACTCGGATTTAAGAGCAAGTTCTTGTTTTAATGTAGCGAGTTTTTCTTGAAGACCACCAACAGCTTCATAAGTTGGATCAGAACTATTAATTATAGAATTACGTGGAGAAGGAATACTTGGAGTTTCTTTTGCTTTTATTAATTGTTCTTCAAGCGATTTAATCTTGTTCTCTAAAGTTTCAACATGTTTATCAGCAAAATTATATTCTTCTTCTTCTTCTTCTTCTGATATAGTTGTTAACTTGCTATGTTTTTCTTCTGTAATTAGTCGATATGCTTCTTTTGATTCTTGAAGTTCTTCCTCGAGTTTCCGAATATGGTTTTGATTTTCAAGTGAAGGGTATAATAATGCAGCTATTGTGTGACTTTTTGATTCGATTTCACCTTGAAGTTTATCAACTTGTTGTCGTAATTCTGATATTTCAGTATTTTCATCAGGTACGGTTAATACACCTTCAAGACGAGCTACTGCTTCATTAATATTTAATTGTCTTTGAGCTTCTCGTTCATCTTCTAATTCTTTAATTCTGGATTGTAACGTTATAATATCATTTTCATCACCATTATCATCAATTAAACGTTGCATTTCAGATTTAAGTTCAGTAATATTAGCTTCAATTTTAGAAATTTCATCATTTTTATCATCATCTTTTTCATTCTTTGCAATTATATCAAGATTTCGTCTTTGTTCTTCTTTAAGTAATTCAACTTCTTCTCTAAGACGATGTACAATATCTAATTGATCTACTTCACTAGTAGCAGCCGAATAACCAGATTCAGTATAAGCATATTCAGAAGTCATTACTGACATAACTTCAATTTGAGCTAAAGCATCACGTCTTTTTATTTCTTCACGAAGTTCTTCAACAATTTCAAGAGTTTCAAGATGATTAACTTCTAATTTTGCAAATTCTTTTTTAACAGCTTCTAAACCTTCAGCTTTATCTTTATGTAAAGATTCCAATTGTTTAAGTTCAATTTGAAGTTTTTGAATCATTGCCATACTTGAAAGTTCACGTTTTTCAGCGCCTTGAATTTCAGCGGAAAGAGATCTTGATTTACGATGAGAACCATAATTAGGAGGTGATAAAGAATTTGGATCATGATGAATAGTTTCCGATTGATTAGTCGTTGGTGAAGAATCATCAGTATCAATATTAACTTCAAAATGTACTTTAGTATCTTGAATTTGAGCTTGAAGTTCATCAATTTCACCAAGGCATGATTGATATTTTTCTTTAAGTTCAGCAAAATCCGAGACAGTTTTTTCATGAGTTTTTTGTAATTCATAAAGTTTAGATTCAAGATTTATTACAATTGAATAATCACTAGCAGTAGGCATAGGAGTATTTGAACTTGGAGGAGTAGAAAAAGGAGTATCAACATCAGATGAAGAAGAAGAAGTTGAAGAAGAACGACGATGTTTACGACGAGGAGCTTTATTAACATCAACTTTAAGTTTTTTAAATTGAGCAATTTCAGCGATAAGATCATCGACTTTTTTCTCAAGTTGAGCAATTCTACGATCTCTATCTTCAATTTCGGCCATTAATAAATTTTGTTGTTGTTCATCTTGAGCTTTTTCTCTTTTATATTTTGCATCTAATTTAGCGTAAGCATCTTCTCTTTCCATTAAAGCTTTTTCAAGATGTTGAGCAGTTTCATTCATAATTTCAGCTTTACTTTCACTTCTTGCTAAACGAGTTTCTAATTTTTGAATAATTCCTTCATTATTTTCACCATTAGATCTAAGTTGAGAAATTTTATTTCTAAGATCATTTATAGTATCTTGATCTCTTTTTTGATCATTAGCATGAGAATCAAGTTTAGTTTCAAGATCTTTAATATAATTTTCAGTAGTTTCTTCACGTTCATTAAGTTTTAAAATCTTATTTTTAAGATCATTAATTAATAATTTATTTCTAGAATTTAAATCATCAGCTTCTTCAAGTTTTAATTCTTGATCTTGCATTAATTTTTCCGTAGTATTTAAAGAAGCACGAGCAATTTTTAATTGACTTTCAAGTTCATTAATAGATCTTTCATATTCAGCAATAACTGGAGCCACAGTTTCTTGAAAAGAGGCAGTAGCATGAGATAAAAAGTCATCATCATCATTTTCCAAGATAACATTTAATTGACGAGAAGAAGGAGGAGAAATATCATTATCTTGATAAGAAGATAATTCAGCGGAGATTTTAGCATAATTTTGAGTTAATTCAGAATAAGAACGTTGAAGTTCAGCCAATTGATCTTCAAGGGCTTCAATATCTTTTTCATTTCTTGAAGAATTTATAAAATTATTAAAATTATTAGGAATAAAAGAAGAAGAAGTGGAAGAACTTCTACGATTATTAAGATTATTAAGATTATTAATAGGATCGGAAGGAGTACTTCTACCAGAAGCCGGAGTAATACCGGTAGAAAGTTTTAAATTTTTAATTTCAGCTCTTAATTTTATAACTAAATGTTGTAAATGTTCTAAATCATGCCAACCAGCTTCTTCTTGAGTAACGGTAGCAACATTTTTTATATTTCTAGCACGATTAGCGTATTTTAAAGTATTTACTGTTTCAGCTATATTATATTCAGCAGGAGAAACACAAGCAATCATTAAAGTTTGAGCGTTACCACCAAGAGAATCTTGTAATAATCGAGTAAGTTTAGAGTCCCTATAAGGAATATGTGTTGTACTTTTTGCTTTTGTTGGATCACCTAAAGCCGAAATTACATTACCCAAAGCCAAAAGACCCGAGTTAATTGAAATTCCTTCTTTTGCACGATCACCAATAGCGGATGTACGTTTAAGCTAAATATAACAATAATAATAATAATAATAATAATAAAGTAATAATAATAAAAATAAAAATAATAATATAATTAGTATGTAGATATTTTTCAAATTATGAAATATAGATATAAAAGATATTTCGCTAACATTTAATTACCCTTTCACTACCAGCTAAATCGACGAAATGAAATTTACTCGTTACAGAAACCCAATCACCATCATCAGATCGTTTACCCAATCTAGAACTAGCTCTTGAAGGGGAAGAAGCGAATCTTGAATCAGATAATTTACTTGGAGTTGATGGACGTGATGATGGAGTTGGACTTGCTGGAACACCACCGGAAGGAATAAACTTTTGTTGAGAGAGTGTAACAGAAAAAATTGCATGTGAACGCGATGATTTAGCGTTCATATCCGTCGCACTCACTTGCCGACTTGCCGAACCACGTGATAGTTGACTAAAAAACAGATAGTGATTAAAGTGATTAAATAACGTGATTAAATAATAATAATACTAGTAATAATAATTATAATTATAATTATAATGATAATACTAATAATTATAATTATAATGATAATACTAATAATTATAATAATGATACCTCATAACTTCTTCAACAGTGCAAACTTTAATTTCTTGTAAACCACTCCAAATGATATTTCCTTTAGAATCTTCTCTTATTAAGACTTGAGGTTTACACTCATCATCGCCTTCAGCAAGAAGATCAATCAAGTCTTCATTATATATTTCCACAAAAGATACCTTCATAGTGAATTTTCGATTTTTATATTGCGCAGAATTTATGTATGAAAAGAGTGTAGCCAATGACCGCGGGATTATACCTCTTGAATCTGGAGGAGATGATGAACTATCGGCAGTTCCCATGGTGTGAGTTTTACCAGATGAGGTTTGACCGTAAGCTAATATGGTAACATTAAATCCTATAACGCAACAATAAGTTTTAAAATGCTCGTTCAATGAATTGTAATTCAATTAAGAAGAGGTCCTTTTTATATAAATCAATTACGTGTATATAATATATATCAGATATATATTTGTATATATATTTGTATATATATTTTGTATATATATGTATATATGTATCTACGTATATATGTATATATGTATGTAGAAACTAAAAATAACCTTTTCATTCAGAAAAGGTATTCAGAAAGACACGTGATTCTACTTTTACATTTACACGATCACTATTTTGTATAGCTTTTTCAAACAAATAATAATAATCATAATCAAAATCCAAATCATAATAATAATAATGATAATAGAACATACCTTCTAAGAATTTATCAACCATACTTTTGATACAACGATCATATATATCTTTTTGGGTCGAATCTGGACCAAATACATGATCAAATGTGAAAGTCTGTTTCTTTTCACCTAAAACAGTGACTTGATTTGGAGCGAATAAAGTTGTTGATAAAACATTTCTTTGAAATCGTGTAGGTAGATTTACCAAATCTTCAGCCGTTAATGGTCTTATTCGAAGAGCTATATAATAAAAAAAAGGATTAATAATTAAATTATTATAGTCATT